TGCCAACATAATTTTAAACTGATTGGATGTATAAGATGCAGCCCTGGAAGTTTCTTATTGGTAGGTGCTATTCTCAGTGCTGTGGAATGTGCTGACTGTTACCTGTGGGGCCAGGAGTCTCCGTTTTTACCTTACAGGGCAGTTTTTATACTCGGGGCTTGGTTAATCTATAGTTTCCTGGAAAGGGGGAGGGGATAGCCGGTGGGAGTCAGGGCATGCCAGGGCGTGTTTAGGCATGTCTAAAGCAGCAGCCAAGCATTTTACAGAAGCTAAAAGAGCAATTAGTGGGGGTCTGGAGGGATTGGGGGGGTAGCAGGTGAATGAAGAGGGTCTCAGGGTTCTACAGCAGCACTTGGGATATTTTAAAGAGCCAGATTAAAGTGTCTGGCTGGAGTCTGCCCACAGCCAAAAAGCTTGCACAAGCCTAGGTTGAAAAGCCATGGACTAATTTCTCTGGCGGAAGAAATTTCAAGACAGCCTAATGTAGAAATGCTGGTGTGGCTCTTAATGGTGAATATTATACAGATTTACAGAGAAAAAGAGCAAATGGGGCAGAAAGAAATACAGAATGTACAGGATGGATTGAAAAAGAGCACTAGGCTGGGCATGGTGGTGCACGCGGATCTCTGTGTGTTCAAGGCCAGCCTGGTCTACATAGTGAGTTCCAGGACAGCTGGGGCTACAGGGAGACCCTGTCTCAAAATGACCAAAAAAAAAAAGAAAAAGAGCACTAGGTAGACTAATGTTGGAACCCTGGCCTGTGATGGAGAGGATCCTATTGATAAGGAGATTAAAGTGATTAAGGAGGGGCCTAGAGATTCATACTTAAACAATGGAGAGAGTGCCTCCAGGGAAAGACCACACCCAGTTAAGCCTAGAGATTCATACTTAAACAATGGAGAGAGTGCCTCCAGGGAAAGACCACACCCAGTTAAGCCTAGAGATTCATACTTAAACAATGGAGAGAGTGCCTCCAGGGAAAGACCACACCCAGTTAAGCCTAGAGATTCATACTTAAACAATGGAGAGAGTGCCTCCAGGGAAAGACCACACCCAGTTAAGCCTAGAGATTCATACTTAAACAATGGAGAGAGTGCCTCCAGGGAAAGACCACACCCAGTTAAGCCTAGAGATTCATACTTAAACAATGTGAAGCAGGGGTGCCCCTCTCAGGGGTGCCCCTGCGTAGAGAAGGCCCTGATAGGCCACTGAGTGAAGCTGTGAAGGTGAAGCCTGGTTGGCAATGGAGACCCCCAAGAAGACATCCGTGATGTCAGAGCTGTGAGGCATCTGCCAAGAAGA